AAATGAATAAAGCTCACAAATGAGATACTAAATCCCAACTCATGACACTGAATCCCAAGTCTGCTATTAAGAAATATCACTGTTCAGTTTGTTAGGATGCAAACTCAATTGTTTTAGTTTGTCCAGACAACAGCCACTTATGATACTGCAACAGCCATACTTGTAATTCATCCCTTGTTCTCACCCGCAATGGATTGGAAGACAAACTGCATTCAGTGTAAATAAGATTTTCATACTGAATAGACTTTCATTCCATGTTTCATTTTTCCAAGCACGAATACAGATTTTAAATTAATTTGAAATCTGTAGATGAAAACTTTAGCTACAATACACTAATAGTAAATCTGACAGACTACTCCTCCTCTTTGTATTATTTTAGTAAAGAGTGTCCTTAAATTATAAACAAACTTATTAATACATCAAAACTAAGGCAGTTTTCAGAAACCTAGCAGGAGATTTCCAAGGAATTTAAGATTATCGATGTTAAAACCTACCTTTACATGTTGATATAACCTCAAACTGTGTGTCCAGAACAGCAGCTGTAGATTCAACTCTATCTGCAGCAAGAATTAATTGTTCTCCGGTAGTTTTACATTTCACAATTGAGTATCTGCAATACAAACATGCATGTGTGATACCAAATAAAGAAACACCACAAAGCTGCAGGTTTTTTATATGCTTCATCTCATGAAAAGACACACAAGTATGTTTTACATGTCCAATTCGTTTGTAAATCTCCAAAGAGTTTCAAGGTAACTTTGCATCATGAAGTAAAAAAAGAAATTAAGCAGAAATCAATATGCTAATAGATATAGAACAAAGCTCACAATTGTGTCACTTAAAAAAAAACAAACAGAAAAACACAAAGCAAACCAAACCAAACAAAACACAAAAACGATGGCTTAGATAAACTGCAATGGTAGTCCAGAACATTTTAACTTTGCTGTTAAATATCGATAAGGACTGACACAGATCACTGAACCAAGTTAAAGACACCTACGCTGAATCTGGCATGTAACAAACTGCTTGATTGGATGGCACAGTCCAAGGTTGCGTGGTCCAGACTAGCACACTAGCAGGGGATGATCCATCTACAGATGTAAATTAGAAGTACTTTACTCACAATTAGAACAAAAATAAAAGCTGTCAGTCTTTAAATCAATAGAGAGGTCAGTACCTAGCACAGAACTCAGCTTAGGCGGTGACTTTAACAGCGGGAACTTCACGTACACAGACCGACTGACGTGCTGGTCATTGTATTCGAGCTCTGCCTCAGCCAAGGCTGTTCTGGGTAGACATCAAACAAAGTTAACACACTGGAACACGAAAAGCTATTGATATCCTTGCTAAAATATTGAAGACAAAATAGAAAATTGATCCTTACTTTGCTGAAGGAGACCAGAATACAGGTTTATAGTCCTGATAAATGAAACCCTGAAGAGGAAAGGGAGGGGAAGAAAGTTAGGAGAATCAAAACTCATGACAAATCAAAACACACTTCAACAAAAGTTCAACATACCTTATCATACATTTTATAGAAGACTCTCAGCTGGTTTGCTTCGTACTTTGGGTCAAATGTAAGGTAGCAGTTGGCCCAATCTGCCATTACACCCCAACGAATGAAGGCGGATTTCTGTTTCTCAATTGCTCTTTCTGCAAATTCTCTGGCTGAAGGGAATAGTTCCGTTAAACATGTAGTTTAGCCCACTAAGATCAATGAAATACCATTTAAAATACCCTATTGATATTCTTCAGCAAAGCCAGAGCTGAACATAGTAAAACTATGCAGTAACTATTACAGTTCAAAACATAAACATTTCAGACTAGTTGTTACATAAAATGGCTGCAAAGCGTAAAGAGATTCAGGAGTGGCACTTTGAATACAACAGGGACATTAAGCACACGTCTTTAGAGTATAAACTTAGCTTTTAAGAAAAAGGGAAAAAATAAGTATATTTTGTTATGAAAAAAAATTCTCAAAACACATTCTAAATAAGTAAGATAAATAAGAGTGAAAGTTAACTGCCTCTGTTGATGCTGATCCAAAATTTTCATAGTAACATGCATCTGAGAATAAGTTAGCCCATTTCAGTACCACAACTTCAAACTAAAGCAGTTTAAATTGCTCATTACAAATTGCTTTGCAGATGAACAATGACGTGTTTCAACACAAATAGTATTTGAAATTATTTCTTCAAAACAGTTTCCATATAATGCTCCATACAGACTTTCTCCAGAGGGATCCCCTCCCTAGTTTTGCAGCATTGTTAAAAACACAGTCAATAAATATTTTCTTACTTATGATACTGAGCCAAGCTGTCCTGACAGAATCTTTTACATGCATCTTTTTAGCTCCTAAACAAATTCAGCCTTCAAAATCCAAAAGAATGTTGATCTGATAAATACGAGCTTCTTGCCACTGCACAGTTAATCAACACAGACATCCAAATTCTCTCCCCTCCTTTTGTTCTTTTTAAACCCAGGGTCAGTGCTCTGCATGTCCATTACAGCAGCAAATGAAGCCCGTGTTCAATTATCCCACTTCACAGGATTCCAGAGTACTCTATCTGCTTGGCAAACACATACAGTGATCCCAGAAAATGTCCCCAATAGCTGATAGAAAAGCCCACATTAAAGTATAAATGTTACATATAAAGCATAAAATACAAAACACAGGTTTTTCCACAAAGATACTGCAGACAGTAGTTCATTTACCTCTCTGCCGAATTTCCATCGGTGAAAGATTTTCAGCTCCTTTGACTTCTGACAATGCCTTCAACTCAATTGGCAATCCATGACAGTCCCACCCTGGCACATAATGTACTTTATAACCTCTCATCACATGGAAGCGATTAGTGATGTCTTTCAAAATCTGAAAAGCCACAAGGGTCTGTTATCACTTTGGCTCCCCCATGTGGAAAACCTACATTTGTGATTAAGATCCTCCTGTTTAAAAAGTACAAGTATCAAAGGTTCCATGATAAACTTACATTTCAGACCAGAAGAGTTATGCATTCCCTGTTCCTGACAGTGTTCAAGGCCAGGCTGAACAAGCCTTTGAGCAGCCTGGTCTAGTGGAACGTGTCCCTTCCCATGGCAGAGGGTTTGGAACTAGGTGATCTTTAAGGTCCCTTCCAACCCAAACCATTCTGTGATTCCAAGGCCATGCACTTGTGATTTTTCTTGCCCATCATTTTGTATATTGGCAGAACCTCAGAAGACCTCTGATCAAAGGAATTCACAACCAGAGTAACCCAGAGATGTAGTTTATACACTTGCAAGACTTGAAGTGAACAAATCCTACTTGCTCTCATTTTTAAAACACTGAGCAGGATCTACAGTACTGGCCTAGTGCATTTTGCTGCAGCCCAGGTTTTGGTACTGTAAGAAGCCATGGGTGACATTTTAGTCTTTCCCACTTTGTGGCCAATATAATATTGCCCTTCTCAGGACTGAATCTAAAAGTATCCAAAAGTATTTAGGAGTAATATTTCAAAGCTGAAATTTGTATTTTCAAAGCCATCGACATTTGGTCATTATGGTTCCATAGATCTAAATACTCAGATAAAATAAAATAAACGTGATAGAACAAATTTGCAAAACACTTGAAAAAAGAACAGCAAGGCACAGCGCAATCACGCATGACAACGACATCATTACAAGTACACATACAGAAATGTACCTTCACTCACGTGTGTATGCCTGGTAAGCTCGATACACAAGTTTAAGTTATGCATTTAATATTGCTCAGCAATGAACAACCGGCTGGGCTTTCTCCGTGAAGCTGTTCTGACTGAAATATTCAGTCTCATAAATGAGCACTGAGCATGTGGTATTCACAGCACGGTATGGTATCTGTGTCACCAGGGCACCACATGGAATCTACATAACAACAGTTTGCTTTTTAAAAGCCCTATCTACCAAAAACCCCAAACATTTTACAGTGTTACTGATTTAAACTCGAACGGAGAACACACAGCACACGACAATAAGTGTTTACCACTTCAGAACAGAAGGGTACAAACGAGTAAATATTTACTTTGTTTAACGCATGGCCAACGTGAGGGTCTCCGTTGGCATACGGTGGTCCATCGTGCAGACAAAACTCCTGCTTCGCTTTCCTTTGCCTTTGCCACGAGTACAGCTCTGAGAAACCACATTTCTGTGGAGACAGCAAGAAAAACCACCAAAATCACCACAGGACTTTGCACTTCCAAAACTTCCAAAAATCCAAGTCTGGATTTTGGCTAGACAGCAAAACAGGCAACGAAAGCAGGCGGGCGAACAAGCACACTTTTCTAACTCCGCAAGAGAAGAAAGCCATCAGTGGCTTAAGAGTATTTAAAAACCTGAGGGAGGTGAAATATGAGGTCTGAGTTCAATACCTCGGCACTGCGCTGTCAGGAGGGTCGCTACTCCTCCTCTAAAGAAAACCGTAACAAAGCTGTGCCTCTCCAAACCACAAATACCTCAACACCCCGAACTTCCCCACCCTCAGACGGCGGGGCCAGGAGAGAGCCCGGACCCACCGCAGCACGGCGAGCCCGCACACGAACCCTCGCCGCCACCCCCGCACTCCTGCTCGTTCGCGACCCCCGGCACAGCCCCACGGCCCTCCCGGCACAGCCCCACGGCCCCCCGGGACCCGCACCCCGGGCACCCTGCCCCGCCCCGGCCGCACCTGCTGCGTCTCCAGCTCGGTCTCGGGCTGCAGCCGCCCCGGGAGCTGCGCGGGGAAGCGGCTGCGCGGCAGCAGCACCGTGTCCCGGTACCGGGAGTCCTCCCGGGTTTCAGCCGCGGCCTCCGAGGCGGCGGCACGGCCCCATCGCCGGGCGGCCCCGGCCCGGGCCCGGCACAGCGGCGGCGCCCGCCAGGCCCGAAACATCCTCGGCGCCGCTTCCGCCTGCGCGACGGGCCGCGGGCAGGGACACACCGCGCAGGGGGGCGGCCGCTCGGCGCTCCCGAGGGGCCGGCCCCGCCCGCGGCCGGGAGATTTGGGGCGTTCCCAGGTGCGTCTGGGAGGACGGCGGGTTCTTCCCGAAGGAGCCGGCGCGGAGGCCGCGGTGCGGGGCCGGGAGTGTGGTCAGTCCTTGGGTCCGTCCTTGGCGAGGCGAGGGGCGGGAAGAGCTTGGAGCGCCCCGCGCGCTGCTGGAGAGCGGTGACGGAGGAGATCCGGGGAACAGCGAGACTGGAGACGGTGAGTTGGCTGCTGCACCAGCAGAGCTGCTCTTGCCACCCCCGACCACGTCCTGCCCTGCTCCGATGGATGCGCTGGAGAGCCCTTCTCAGTGCTTAGGAATTCCGGCTGTGCTGCAGGCAGTGCACCACGGGGAATACCGATGGCAAGAGACTCAGAACAGGCGCTTTTTTTTCTTTCTTTTTTTTTTTTTAATACAAACTCAAAAGGCCTCTGAGCCCAAAACCTCAGCGTTACCTCACTGAAATGACGTAACACAGCCCTTTCCCACTTGGAAGTCTGTAGGTGAACCGCAGTGAGACCCAGGGATTCCCACTCCTAAGTCCCAGCCTCCTTCTGCCTGGTAAACACTGTTTCCTGACATAATGGAGAGTTTATCTTCTACTAAATGTGTGCGGAAGTTTATTGAAAAGAAATAGGGACCTCTGGTCACTTGGGTGTTGAAGAGTTCTGAGAAAGAAGTTGTGGCTTAGCACTTGCATTTAAAGACAATGCTCTGTGTGATGTCCACTTTCTCCTTTCATCAGGCAAAATCATAAATTTGGAAAATGGAAATTGGCATAAAAGGGACTGAGATAGCAACATCAACAAATCTATTGTGTGTGCTTTGATAAATTAGTTGTAGCCAGCCTGTAATACTTACAGACGTCAAAACTGAAAGGTGCAAGAGAAAGTGGAGAACTCATTTATTTTGATAACTAGCAAATCAGGTTGATATGTCGAGACCATTCAATAATTTGGTTGCTAGGCCAGGAGAAAGGAGGGATGGTCTTTGGAGGACAAGGTGTGTTTTGGCAATTATATGCAAATTTAACTTGAGGGACAGTTGCTGTGCAGTCTTCGTACGTTGTATAGTTTTCTAAGAGTCAAACTATTCTTGTCCAAAGCAACCAATATATTCTTGAATGTCTTGTGGAAATATACATTAGACATTGCCCTCGTCAGTTTATGTGCCATAAACTTATAAATAAGCTAGGTAATTTGAGATAAAAAAGTTTACAGAGGCGAAAAACTTACAGCCTACTAGCACGCACACTCATCTAACCAAAAAGGTCCGATATACCAGAAGATGTACCACATGGGAGGTGCAGACCTGTAAAAATTTAAGACACCTTTTGCAGTAATAACATACTTTGCAATTCGCTAATTAGTTACTTTGTATTGGTGAGGAGGGAGTGTTGAACCTCCCACTTCAATTTCTTTTAATAGATCTTGTTTTTTCATACAAATATTTTAACTTTTAAGGTTTGCCTAGAGATTTCGGGCTCACCACAGAAAGTACATTTGTTTGCCTTAAGAATGGCCAAGAAAAATGTGCCCAAGAAACATCTTGGGTCAAGCTTCAAGAGTGTAAGATAGTATTTCTGTATTGCTTTCTGAGTCTTTTGAAACTTTATATAAACATTAAATAAATACAGCCTTTAAAACAGTTAAGTTTTAATCTCATTTTATGAAGCAGGATCAAATGTATAGTAAAAAGTGAAATAACTAATGAGAAACTGAGCCTAAAATGTTAATTATCTTCTTCGGAGCTCAATTCTTTAACCCAAACATCCCGTCTATATGCAATTTTTTTTTGCCCTCCCTCAGAAATACTCATATTCCTCATATTTTCAGTGTGGGTTGAACTACATTCCATTTTTCTTCCTGTTAACTTCTTTCACGTGATGGCGTAGACTTAAATAATATCTCTCAGCTCATGTGCTATGACATGTATTTGCTCTACAACTTCCAACTATTTGGGAGTGGCTTTTTGCCACAGGTGGCATTTCCAAAATTTCCTCTGTAACCATTGCTACCAGGCCAAGATGGATGGCCCAGCTGTGCACTTTGGGTATGGACCTTGGCTATTCTACGGAACTCCAGAGCACTTTGCCCCCATTCCAGAGCAGAAATAATAATTAACATTAGCAACTGTGCTTTTTGAGTGTACTTACACAATCGCTCTAGTCCTTCAGCTTCAGAGAGCTTGTGACTTTAGAGATACAGGTACAATGTTTCTAAAGTGCTCAATAAGTTCTTACATCAGCTAAATTTGGGATTTTGATACCTCTGACATTGCTGTGAACAGCCATGAACTTGGTTTCTCAAGGAAGAAAGGGAAGGTGTTGTGTAACGACCTGTTGCCACTTACGCAGTACTTGCTGCAATTCCTGCAAATGTTGATTGTGATATTGGTGAAATGATAGTTATATTACACTTCCCAGATCATATGTCTTCTTCTGTGTGGGGATGAGTGAGTTCCTCTATATTTTGTTCTGGCTCTGTGCTCAAGTGTTTTCTTGGAAGTGTGTTACACATGGGAGCCCAACCCAAAAAACAGATTATCTACACAGATGGAAAAATCTGATAAGAAAACATAAAAGGCAATTAGCTTTGCATTGTGAAGAATACAGCGTAGTTATCAATACTTTTTTTTCCTGAGGCAAAAAAAAAAAAGCTGGGAGGAATGCTAGCCTTTCCAAGAGTGATAGTTACTCTTCTGTTTGGGAACTGAAGGCACAGTGAATTGCACTGGTGCATGCTGGGGAACAGATGTAGAAGACAACATAATAGGGAGAATGACAAGGCATGCAGTATTGAAGGGAGGAAGGAAGATGTAAATAGATTTTCTTAGAGAAATCAGGAGAAGTTAAAGAAATACAGAAAGAATGGTAAAATTTGATGAACAGACTTTCACATGCAAGTTTGCAGGATCTGCATATCATTAACCTATTTTTTGTCCACAATTAGGCCATCTACAAAAGCCTTTTTTATATTTAAACAAAGAGAAATACTAAGTGAAGTTGCTCATGTCATCCTCTCTGGCAGCCTTGTGCTTGAGTCTGAGCACAAACCATTTCTGTAGGTTCAGTTCTGAGAAAATTTGTTCAAAATGTACAAAAAACGAGTACTCTGTGTAGATTGTGCTTTTTCTTAATATCTATGATAGAGTTTCTGCTGCTGTTCTTTTTAATGTCAGATTTTATTTTAGAATTAGGTTCACTGTCAGACAGAACATGGTTATTTGCAAACTCTTGTCTAAAATAGCTTTACATCCCTGTGTTTGTTAATGGCATTTTTAAAGAAGCCAAAGCTCACTTCGTTACTACTCACGTTGGCAGTAACCTGCTTTCCCCTTTCTTCTCAGTTTAAGCTGTATCTTTTTGGAATGTAAATATGTAAAATATTTTACCTTTTGTCTTCTCTTGAAGACAGAAATGTACAAGTTTGCTGTTTGTTTCTTTTCAGCCTTCAGGATGGCCTCCCCGGCTCTGCTCATGCGTGTGGTCGCCTCTGCGTATTCTGTGGCGGAAAAAGCTGCAACAATTGTCAGAAATGTAATGTCTGCAGGAGATCTGGGGATAGTGGAGAAGGTATTGCTTTTACTTTGTTCCAATTTAATTTCCCTTGTTAATGCTGAGTTAGATACAGGTCAAAGTGCTATTTTGGAAAATCAGCAAATCAGGAAGGGAATACAGTCCTCACCCCTCTGATACAAGAAATATTCCTTGTTAAAGGATTAAAAGAGTGCTAGAGAATTGTCTTTTGACTAGTATTTCTAAAGAATGTTCAGACACTTAAAAGAAACACCATAATTTTGTCCTGATTTCCCTAACAAAACACAAGCTCTGGATAGCACAAAATTCGTAACAAGACATATTTCCTGTTAGTGTCTATATCTATGTTCTAACACCTTAGTACAGCTTAAAAGACTGTGCCCTTGATGAATTTTGGATTAGAATAAATCAGTGTTTATTTCCTAAAACAAAAAAGAACCTTAGATTTTGTTGTAGTTTTCAAAATTAATTCAGAGCTTCAAATTTAATTCTAACTGGAAAACAGAAATTAAATTAAAATCATCTACATGAAGTTCTTAATTTGCTGTAAATTAGTAAGTTGCACTGATGAGCCAAGATCTTTGTTTTGACTACAGTTCTAGAATAGATGGAATTAACTTTTGAAGCTAATTCTAGCTTTACAGGTATGTCACCGTATTATGGACTTCATTAAATATCTTTATTAATTTTGGTCTTTACATTGAAGTAACTGCTGATATTTACGTTATTCAAAAATGATCAGAAGTAACAGGTGATATTGGTTCTAAATGAGATGTTATATATACTTTTAATTTTTTAAAATGAATACTACACACAGAAAATTAGATCAAAACCAATGACCAACAGAAGAGGTTCCTGTTTGAGGGACTAGAGATCTTGAAACTCCTTGCCAAAGGTGGCTGCTGAAGAAAGAGGAAGAATGCAAGAGAGAGAACCTGTATGTGCCTTTGCTTTACAGTCTGGAGGGAAGAGATGCACAGCAGAGAGTTCTGCTTCTCATCATTCATCCTCTTTCTGCAGCCAGCAAACATCAAAACCAATTCCAACTGGCCTTATTGGAAGCTTTAGAACATCTAGGAAAGCAGCATTCCACTTTTTCCCTCAACATAGCGACCTCCCATCCATTTATCTAGTGAAGAAAACAGTTCAAGGACAGTTGAATTTTTAGCTAGCTCCTCTCTTTCCTTTCCTTAATATCCAGAATTTTCTTCCCCTCAGTCAACTTTAAGCTCTACATTTATATTGCTTCTCTTTTTAGCACTTGCACTTTTTTTTTCCCTCAGTTGGTAGGTAGACACTTTGTCCAGCCACTCTTACAGTATTGATGGCTACTTGATTCTGTTTTGTTAGGCTGATGTCCTGGAACGAGGACATTCTCTGCAGTAAATCTGATCTTCAATCAAATTTATTAGGGGATAGGAAGGAAATTTCAAAGAAAAATATCAAGTTTCAAAAAAAATTAGCAATTGGATTTGAGCATACAAAAATTAACCCATAACATGATTCTAAATGGAATATTCCATTCCTATGGCTAACTTCCATAGCTGGATAAAACACTTTTCATGTTGCCAGCAAATAAGATACAAGCAGATAGAATAAATTTTTTGTTTGATTCAATTAAGATGCGAACCTTGGATGAACTTTGTCTTTCTTGATGCCCACTTTCACTACGTAGCAGATTATAAACATTTAAGAAATTAGTGTAACCCATGTGGCAACATGTTTGGCTACATCTCTTTTGGGAAGGCTAGCACTCATTGTTTTATATCACCTTGAGACATCAAATCCACTGTTTCCTCTCAAGTATTTTTTGATGGAAAAAACGTATGGATGTTACTGACCAGCTAAATTTCCCTGGCTAATTTCTGGCCTTCCGTGGTCTTTTTGTGCTAGACTAAGGAACCATTCACTAATTAGAAGTTTATACATCATCATTGTTTCTGTTACTTTTTTTTTAAACAAACTAGATTAATTGGACCTTTAAATGACCTTTGACTAACACCTACCCTCTATTTCTCTTTCCTAATTTGCCACGTTCATCCAGTGAGCCTTAGAATAATGACTTTTTCCTGTTAACATCCTAAGTTTTGCCTTTCCGTCTTCATGTATTATATCTGGGTTTGTACTTGTGTTGATTCATTCTGTACACAGTGTAGTATTTGTGCAAATACAGAGTGAGTACAATTGCATGAGAAGAACACAACAGTAAATGTGGTTCTAATGTCATAGCAGTCTGTCTTCGCTCTGGGGTACACAGGGAAACTCTGCTTCTTGCAGTTTTTAGCCTGCCTCTCGCAAGATCATTTACTAGGTTGATGATTAATCAAATTAGACCTCTTTTTCATTACAAGGTAGATATTCATAGTAGCTGTATGGGCTACTGTGCTGGTATGGTGGGGTTTTTTTCATACACATGTCCTTGGACAGGCTGGGCCCAATGACTTGCAGACCAAAGCTGACCGACTTGTACAAATGAGCATTTGTGCTTCCCTGGCACGGAAGTTTCCCAAGGTCACAATCATAGGAGAAGAGGTAAGTACCTAGTTTATTTCATGCTAACAGTATATATTTCACTAAGTGTTAGTACTTCATACTAACAGTTTATCTTTCTCTCAGTTGTACTGCACTTTACTTTGGCAGGGTTTAGGAAACACTCTGTTTTAATAAAAAAAAGTCCCCAAACGAATTTCCATCCCGTTTCACCCTTTCAATTCATTAGCTTTGTCGAGCTGCAAGCAAATGCACAGTTCTAACGCAAATTGAAGTGAGCCCAACACCTTTCTTTAATAATTCTAAGAATTCTTTTGTTAGGATTTGCCCACTGATGATGTAACTGAGGAATTAATTGAAGATGGTCACTGTGAAGAAATACTGAAGAAACCTTGTCCTGCTCAGTACACAGGAATTAAAGAGGAGGAGGTAATGTGATAATGTTACTCATATGTCTTCATATTATAAATATCTATATGACTTACTGATTTTAGCTATGAGTGTGTTAATAAAAATGGTTGTTTCAGTGTTGTCAATGTTTCTTTTTCATTTGAAAACTGAAATGTAGTCATAAGAATCAGACCTCCAGAGCTGGAAATGCTGCATGTCCCTCTGTACAGTAATGGGAAATAGAAATTTGCTTCTTACAATTTGTGATTCAAATTAATTTGGAAGGAATCTAGTTTGGACATAATGAAGTAATCTCATTTCCATGTTCAGTTTAATCCTTTATACTTCAATTAAGAGATTTGCTGAGACATTCCTGTCAATTTTTAAGCTTTTCTTTTTGGTGTAAAATACCATTATAGGCTTCAGTCATATAATAATGTTAAAACTTTGGATCTCTTTATTTCCTTACTGCCATAAAGAAATAAAAGCACTAAAGTAAAATACATACTTTGCATGATAATTGACATGATTTGTATTTGTTAATTTTCCTTTTTTAATTCTTAAAGCTTGTAATATGGGTTGATCCCCTGGATGGAACCAAGGAGTACACTGAAGGTTGGATTCTCTTTTTTTTTCTGTTGATTATAAAAAATAGCAGTGCAATAAAGTAGCACATACATGTAGATAATTTTACCATAGAAGTTACAGTATTGTTTCATAAGGCTGATATTTCTGTGCTTTCTGAGCGCTATAGAATTTTTTAATCATTCCATTCAGTTCTAACCAGGACCGAATATTTCTGATGGGATGCTGGGTGGTTATCATTTCAAGGTGCAAAGAGCTGCTTTTGAATCCTGGCAGGTTGTCTTAAGTTTTTAGTTAAATTTACGATTTTGCAAATGCTTCGAACTGAAGGACTAAATCTCCCCTTCACACAGGAATATGCTGAATTTTATTGCATCCTCCTCTTCAAACAATCCAAATACCACAGCTGTATTTGTAGCCTTTTCAAAATGAAACAAACATCTTCCCACAAATCACAGTTCTTCACTTATGGGAAGAAACTGTTTTCAGCAAAGCCTAATTTGTCTCCATAATAGACCTTAAAATTAAAGGGAAAAAAAAAACCCAATCCCTAAAAACCATTATGATGAAACCTCACTTTAGTCTCCTACTGCATCCTTTAGTTGATTAACGTGAAATTCTTTAGGCAGAGCTTTTTCCCCTTTTCAGGGAAAAAGATACACAAGTGCCAATGTATTTCTGATTTTGAAAATCACTAAAGAATTCCCACCACAGTTATAGAAGAATATCATCATAGACTGCTATTTAGTTGTATCTTTAAACTTTTTTCTCATTATGTGATAATTATAATGTAGTTCTAGGGGCAATTTTTAGCAGACCTCAAGACTAAATTACTAAAAAAATCAACCAACTTATTACACCTGAAAATCGTGATTCGTATTGGAATTTTTAAGGTACCACCCTGTGTATCAGTTTGTGGACTTTTACTGAAGGTTTATTTTTTTATGTATATACTTCCTCTTTTCAAGCAGAACTTACGTTCATATTATGTCTGTACAGGTCTCCTTGACCACGTAACGGTTCTTATTGGAATTGCATATGGAGGGAAAGCAATAGCAGGAGTTATTAACCAGCCATATTACAACTATGAGGTAATAAATTGTTGGTTTACTTAAAAGCATTAGGTGGTTTCTAACTGTTCCTTCCAAGCCATTTCAGTTAGCACACTTTCAACTGAAAAGTGGCGTGAAGCTGAGTTAAAGCTGTAATATAAAGTGTTGAGTTTTTTATTAAATATATACAATTTTAAATGTTGGTTTCCAGGAACTGGAACTAACAGCCATATTGAATCCTAAGGCTTGTGCAATCCACTAATACAGTATATACGGGCATTTACACATTTGGAGATTATTTCAGTATTATCCAGGGGGAGAGGGGAAGCTCATGATGCAGCCTGATTAATTAAACTTACTGGAGTTTAAAGAAAAAACTCTTGAGCTGATGTAATGCCTATCATGTTCTATGTGGTACGTATCACAAAATATTTAAGATTACAAGATATTTTCAGTTGCAGATTGTGCCTGAAGTACAGAAATATACAAACATTAATCTGTCAGTCACTGGAGTTAGGATGTAATGCACCAGCACAATCTCACAGATAAGAGAAGGGTAAATGATGTCATTGCCTTAGAAGGAGACAGTTTCTTACTCTAGGCTCTGAAGTAGGGGTTTTTTAGGTGTCATTGTTTAAGTATATAACCCAGTATTAATATTATACTCTCTGAAATGCAACAATGGCTCTAGGTATTCCTTCCCTTTGTGGTCTAAATGCTGATCACTGTGATTAACCATCCCCTGGACCTGTGTATCTTTTTTGCAGGCAGGAGCTGGTGCTGTGTTGGGCAGGACGATCTGGGGAGTCCTGGGCATAGGTGCCTTTGGATTTCAGCTCACAGAAGCACCTGCTGGGAAACACATCATCGTTACCACCCGTTCCCACAGCAGTGCCCTGGTAAATGAGTGCATCAGTGCCTTGAACCCAGACAGTGTCATCAGAGTTGGAGGAGCAGGAAACAAGGTATGAAAATTCAAAATCTCTTGCTTTTACTGGGAACTGGCACCTTTGGAGAAAAAGAAAGAGACTTTTTAAAGAAATCATTTGCTTACGTGCACAAATGTGCAGGAGACTTCCTCCTCCTTCCCCAGCACAACTCTTTCTGGCATTCAGTCTGCTGTGAGGGAGACAGAATTTGTAACAGTGGCTGTGCTGGTCATGGCTGAGGTCTGTCTTCCCCAGTATTCTGTTTCTAGGGGTGAAAAGAAGAAGTTGTAAGACCAGGATGACTAAATGGGAGTTCAATTTAATCACAATTATTAGATGTGTCCTCCAGTACATGTTAATACAGTTTTTGTTCCAGCTATCTAGCAGCACATATGAAAGGATAAAAATACAAGCACGCAGTGGTATTTTTTGCAAAACTTCTCTGCATACAGGGAATACTCTTACTAACAGTTTTAAAGCTTCATTTTGTCACAGCTGTCAAAACCAGACCTTCTAATCTCTCTTCTCCAATATGTGCAAGGCCCAAAATGGCACCAACACAACAAGTACACAGTTTCCACTCTATTATTTTTAGTACTGGCACAAGAAGGGAATTACTGTTTCTGAAACTAACAGCAGATTTTCATCCTATAGAGTGTATTTACAATAACCAAAGATATTGAATTGAGGATGGTAACACAGTATAGCTTTCCAAATCTTAATACAATTTCTTGTAATATCAAAGGAAATGGCTGGTGTTCCTTTTCTGACTGTAAGTACATAGAAAAAGTGGATTTAATGCCTATTTCCTGGTGTTATTTCTACCCATTTCTAAATGCCTAGATCCTTTGCAATGATTGCCACTCTCTATTCATAATAGGTCATTCAACTTATAGAAGGCAAGGCATCTGCTTATATATTTGCCAGCCCTGGGTGCAAGAAATGGGATACATGTGCACCTGAAGCTATTCTACATGCTGTGGGAGGTAAGTTAATAGCATTCAAAATTCCAAGATAAGTGAAATTGCATCAATTTTAAGTTATTTATACTTTTCATAGGAAAAACAAGAATTTCCAAACATTTTTTTTGAAAGAAAAATGACAATATGTATGTATTTTTTAATAGGTATGACTCACTAGGACCTTTGAGCCCTCTGAAATCAACAGTAATGCCAATGAGTCAAGCACATTATCCTCTGAAAAGCATGACATGATCTATTTTGCTCTGGACTAATAGAATCAATAACTATCAAATAATCAACAAAGCCAATTCCAAAATTTTGCGTGTATTCATTTTAATATTCTCAAAACAAATGGCTTTTTTTTTTTTCTGTTGGCTACTATCTCACAGTAAAATCCTGCTGCCCTACTAACTGGATATAGTAGTTTCTTATTAGTAACATATTATGTAATATGTGGACATTGAACTCTTCAAAACAACAGAAATAGGTCAAATCATGTTGTTCCTCAGATGTTCAAACTCCAAATTTGAGTAAAATTAGTGGCCTCCAGACAATATAAGCCACCTATCTAGTGGTAAGGGGTTGAGAAGCTATGAAAAGTCTCACTGACAAAGATTTGAAGTATATTATTATGATGATTCTTAATTTTTTTTCTGTTGTTCACAATGATAGACCTTTTACCACTATGTGCTAAAATTTTGGGGTTTTGTCTCCTCAATTCTGCCGAGCAATGATAACAGGCTTCATAATGTCACTATTTAACTCTATTTAACTACAACTATTTAACTCTGCAGTCTCTGGAGTTGATAACTGGGATAGCCTTACACAGTTAGCTCAAGTCCAAAGCAGCAGAACAGTGCTGTATTTAGCCTCCTTGTTAAGGAGGTATCTCCTGGTTAAAAATCTTGCATGGTGATCTCCATTGTCCCTGCTAAGTGGTTTCTAGAAACTCTTTCAAAACCAACTGGTGTGCTTCTATATTATGTTACAGTTGTGCAGACTTACCCTGGCTTTTACTTGAACTGAGGATTTTTCTTTCCTTCTTGTCAACGGCCAATGTAAAAGCTACTCAGGAAGCATTTTAAATAATCCATGAGAGAAAAATATTGTTTTCCTTTTTCTGAGACACAAGGAAATTAAGTACTGTTGAAAAAAAAAAGATAAAACCACTAGTTATTTGATTTCAGTCAGTAAAAAACCTGTTGTACTTAAACTGGAAGCAAAGATACTTCACATCTGAAGACAGGGGTGCATACACCAAGGAGCGCTTTTTCAGTTATATAACTTGAACTAATAAATTCTCTCGTCCCAACCCTTTTTTGCTGGAATATTTTTTTCTTTCTTTCTTTTTTTTTTTTTTCAGGCAAGATAACTGATATCCGTGGAAATTCATTTCAGTATAACAAGGAAGTAAAACACATGAATTCAGCTGGGGTCCTCGCCACTTTGAGGAATTATGACTATTATGCCAGTCGTATTCCTAACACTGTGAAAGAGTCTCTAGTGCCTTAAAGCAAGGGAAGCATCTTCACTTGGCCTGGAAGGCTGAGAAAGTGAACTTGGGGAAAAAAGAGAGAAAGAAGACAACTGAGCTTGAAATCTTGTTTTACAGAATCTGAACTGAATTCTTTTATTAAGGTGTTCAATAATTTCAAAGTTACACAGAATCCGTAAGTAAATGTTGGATCAGATTGTTTTGCTGTTTTTAGCAGGCAACTTCAAAGTGGTCACATTTCTTCAACAGCTGTATTCTGTATTCTCTGGGAATTTTTATTCTTCATGACTGTGCATGATATACTGTAAATCATAACACTGCAGACCAAAAATCACCTGAAAATTATGGGCACAAAATCACATTAAGTCATTTACCTACTTTTGCTCGATGTTTTTTTTGTTGTATGTAGCCAGTACAGGTTATTGTGTTAAATACAAATGGACTAAGGATTTGCCTGGATGGATTAGCCCATTTGTTATAAAGTTGCCAGTTTTGATTCTTAGAAGTGAATCTTTGAATTTTTCAATCTGCACTCAGTTTTGGGATGGCTGAAATTGTTATTTGTGGTGAATTGGGTTGTCTGAGTTTTGCAGGAGGCAGGACACAGTCCATCTGGTCGTTCAACATCCCATATAGAGATTCCTGGGTCATTGGATCCATTGAGGATCAGTGAAGCATTAATACAGCAGGGTTCAGGACACCCTCAAATAAAAGGTGACAGGGGGAGGAGTTCCAAGCTCCTCTCTGACTTGAAATGCCCCTGGCAGGATTTATGCCACTGCAGTCTTGGAGTGCTTTGGGCATCCTAGGTCATTTCAACATATGTGGGGGTAACAGAAGGTGCAGAACTTAAAATTTTTCACGTCCAAATTTTGAGATAAACAGGTCCCTTTCCAACAGCCCCACCAAGCTGAAGAACCTGACAGTCCCACTCGCCCTCCATATGAAATGTAGGCATGTTAGGGAGGGGAAAGAAGTGGGACAAGATCACCACAAATTAACTTAAGAATTGGAGAGCCTGTTTCAGTCAGCTTTCCCATAGGTGTGGGTCTTAGGAAAGCAGGATTCAACTGCTCAGTCCACTTGAACACAAAAGAGAACAAGTATTAAATTACATACAGCTAGCTAAAATTGGCAACCTTAGCCAAAACGGGTGAAATCTCTTCAAGCTGAATTTGGAATTCTGGAGTTAGGATCTTGAACCACTGAGGCCTCCATGCCCTTTGTTTTCTCCACTTTTTGTGCCCCAAGTCCCTTATTCTCAAATTAAGGAGTCTTAGGGCATCCCTTTCCCCAACAGTGTGACACTGAGGCATTCCATGAAGAGATGCCAGTTTCAACAGACAACACATAGTTTTGCTTTTCTTTCTGTTCTCTGTGTGGAGAAAAGAGTGGCATATGTCAGCTTCTCAAGCATGTGGTGTCAGGGAGGAGGTGCCTGAACACAGCTGCTCGCTTATGTAAAGACTGAATCCCTAAGCTCCTCTCCCACGTGGTTTTTTTTGCTGTTACCTGTGCTGACACCATAAATGTTAAAGTAGGCTGCAGGCTCCACTGCACTGTTTCTTCCTTTCTGCCCCTCTCCATCCACACAAACCATCTTTAAACTAGCACTTCAAGGTACAAAAGTTATGTTTTCCATACAGAAGAAAATTTCAAATTTCAGTTTTCAACATTATGTTCATGTTACTTCTTTTTCCTTTTCATCACACAAGGTGTTTAACAACTCTAATTTACTTAACAGTCCTTAGATTATATCCTTTCCTCACCACAGGATAACATCAATATGACTTCAGTGCCTGAAAGCTGGCTCTGTTTTCAGCAAGCTGGAACACCTTGACACCAAAAGATATGAACGAGGCAACTCTTGCTAAGGTGTTCCCAGTTTCTCCCTGTGCTCGCATGGAACAGGATCTAAGGAAGGTCTTTCCTTAGTGAGGTCATCTTAGTGTAACATTTAGATAAATTAGCAAGATTAGTACTTACCTCATTCTATTGTGACACTGGATTAAAGCCACACACATAGGACTGATGTGTGCTTCTAATCCTTTGATCTAAAGCCTACCTTCCTTCTCTTTCCTCAAGTGCATGACTAGTAAGAGCAGGCAAGACAGATTCAGCCTGCTTTAATTAGAACCTTCTTCATGTTTTGGCCCATTACAAGTTTAGTCATTCCACATATTGATTGTGACTGAAGTTTGAGCCATATAGCAAGTACGAGCTTAATCTCATCTCACTGCTTCAGTTGTATATAATTTTCACCTTTACCTTGTACAGGATTCTTTGTTACGCATGCTTTAGCTTTCCCATCAAAATCTGCATGTGAATTTGCAGAACACATTAAGATAAAATGTATAACAATTTAGACAATGCAAAGCCTGCCTTAATAATTCTTTCCATGTAATCATTAAAATACTAAGTACAGAACCCACTGTTAGTAAACTTCATCTATGTATCTATATCCTTATTTTCATCTCAAACTTGTAATAGGATTGAAAATCTCTTCAGCATAAGCCTGTTTCTAATTCTGCTGTAATTTCAGTCTGCTTTCTTTGTTACCTGAAAAGGAGTAGAACACACATAGCATACACCAGCTTCTGCATGATGTGTAAAGACACTTGTGTTTGGAAACACGTTCCATGCTTACAGAAACTGTAAAACTGCTAACACAGGAGAATATTAAGTAAAGCTGAGACCAAGGCCAGCAGCAGGAATCAATCATAAAAACCAGCACCTAACATAGAGTCATGTTCTGGCTATACCACTGCATCCACTGCACAAAAAGCACCGGTCCACCAATCAAGCATTTGATAATTTCTCTGCTAGCACATTAGGTGCTACAGGAATAGCTATAAAATTGACCGGGGAGGGGGTGTGGAAATCACCGTGACACTGCATTGTCCTTGCAACAAAGTGAACTTGAGTAGGTCTCCCGTGAAAAACCGGTGACACAGCATTTTTGTAATTCGTTCCAAGATTCCAGAGGGTGTTTGGGCACTGGAACAGGCTCCTCAGGGAAGTGGTCATAGCACCAAGCCTGCCAGAGTTCAAGCATTTGGACACTGCTGTCAGGCACATGGTCTGATTCTTGGGGCTGTGCTGTGCAGGGCCAGGAGTTGGACCTGGTGATCCTTATGGGTCCCTTCCAAGTAGGGATATTCTATGACTCATCTGGCTGCAAAATCTGCACGTTTATCAGGAGCTGAAACAAGTAACATTCTACAAAAACAGACGAATGAAACCACTGCGCTCAAACGTGTCTGTACGCGTTGTGGTGTTCGTTTGTACCATCCCACATAGGAAAGGCGCTGAAGGCATCTCCACGGCTGCTGCCACACATCCAACAGGGAGCTTTTGCACGCATCTCCCGCAAAGCCTTGGGGAAAGCTGTGAGAAGAGAAGCGCCGGTTCCTGGCACCGCTTCGGAGCCGGGCAGCGTCCTCCCGGCGCCCATCCCGGACGGCTTCCCGGGGCCGGGAGAGCGCCCTGCCCCGCCCGCTCATCACCTCCCACCCGGCTCCGACTTCAACGCCTCTTCCCGGCGGACTCAGGGACAAATCACGCTCCTTCCCGTCCCGTTCCGCCGCCTCTGTGGCCGCTCCCGACGGAAGTGACGGTCCGTGGCCCGCCCCGGGGCGGGTCCTGCCGGGCCGCCGTGGCCGGGCCGGCCCTCGCCGGGCTGGCAGCGCTGCGCGCCCCGCCCCGCTCCCTGCCCTGGTTCCGGCGGCGACGGCGGGAATGGCGGCGCTCAGTCTCACCGTGGACGCGGGGAGCCCCCCGCTCGGTAAGTGCGGCCCCGACCTCGCTTTCCGCCCCCTCTCCGCCCCCCACCCGCAGCCCTCGCTCTCCCGGGAGATCCGCCGGGCTCCGTCCCCTCCCTCCCGTGCCCGCCGTGTTGCATCATGCGGCGCCGCTTGTCCCCGCGTGCGGGGCCCGCGCCCGCCCTTCCTTCCCATCGCTCCCGTCCTTCCCATCGCTCCCGTCCTTCCCGTTCGCTCCCGTCCTTCCCATCGCTCCCGTCCTTCCCGGGGCCGTGTGCCCGCTGCGGCCTTGGCACGGGGCCCCGGTGCCTCTCGGTGTGCCCGCTCGGGCAGCGGTGACAGCGGCCGGCGCTGCCAGAACTCGGGCTGGGGGAACTCGGTCGCGGGCAGAGTCCTCGAGTGACTTGGCGCGTTGGGGCTGAATTTTAAGGCAGCCCTAGTGCGGGCTGCGTGCTTGTGAGCTCTGCTTGGTTGCTGCTGCCTTTTATTTTCAGTTCTCAATCTGTTGCTAAAATTCGGCTCGTCTGGGGAGCTGGTTCAAAGTTGCGCTGTGAAATCTCTAGTCTTTCAGTTTCTCACTCGCTGTCCTCCGAGGTTATTTTGCCTTTAGAAATGTGAGAGCCTCCTTCACTGCACTTTCAGCCATCTGGAAACAACATTTCGAATGTGTTACATACCATTTCTCCATTTTGTTACAGCTATTCAAAATAAATTTTCTTCCCATTCCTTGTCACAGTTTATTGATTTCTTTTTCACGCTGTTGTTCGCAAATGCTATTTGGGAATGTTATTTCCAGAGTTTAATACAACTTGCATGACTATTGATTTAAGGTACAATAACATACAAGTTTTATTTAAATAAAATTTCTTCTGATACTTTTTTTATACTGGTTTGCCAGAAAATGATGCAATATGGGTTATGATTAACATCAGGTTTAGGGGCTTTGGAGACCTCTTTTCTTTTGATAGCTGGTGAGTAGCACTAGAGATTTAATTCAGGAGATTGCGCGATTGTGTCAGAAATATTACATGTTACAGATGAAGCATTATGGTAAACATTTGTATCAAGAAGACAACCTCGCTCATCCTACTCATCCTTACTTCATACAATTCATTATGTCTGCTATGCTCTGGGAAAAGTGTACTAGCTTTTAATGTCATTAGTATTAATTACGTAGCTTGGTGCACATAATGCTTGTCATTTTCAAAGCATTTCCGTGCATGTCATTAAAATACTTACGTGTCTTACAAACGTACTGCATAAGGGATGTCATCCTGAATTTCACAGATGGATAACTGAGGGATGGGAAGAAGAACCTTGACTTACTCTTAATGCCAGAAGAAGGGTTTTCAGCTGAGCACAGGTGAAGCTTGGGAATTCCTGGCTCCAGTGGTTTGTATTTAGGCCAGTGTATTAATAGCTTCCAATGTCATCTGCCGTGGGTAGTTAGTGCGTTCTTCTATGGAAGATAAAGTGAACAGCGCACCATGAAGGCTGTAACAGGTTAGATGCCTTTTAAGACCCAGAGTGTAGTCCTTTATCTAGTTTCATTTAAGTAATATTTGCCTATGCAGAAGCTTGCTGTCTTTGTACGTGCTTCTGAGCAAAGTTGAAGAACACAAGCTCTGCTACTTATGCTCAGCAGGCTGAATCTGGACCAGAGCCAATCCAGAAATGCAGCCAAGTTAGCTCAGTGCTTTGTTTAAGCTGCTATGTTGTGCTGTGTTGTGCTTGAGATCAGAGCAGGTTTGCATCAAGCCACTTTGAATGTGGGCAGAGCTGTCCTCCAATCAGTGATGTAGCCTAAAAACTTCAATAATTATTTTCTTTCCAGAGACCATTCTTAACTGTCAGTGCAGAACTGCTTACTCTGAGAATCCTGTGTCATCTTCCTGCACTTTCACATAGATAGAGTTTATTGGTTTTGAATGGCTAATCTTTTCAGAAACTTTAATTCAGGTTAAAAATAGTCTCATCCTCTTTCAGAAAGTACTGGTTCAGTTATTCATCTCCATTGTTGCATGTGTCAGGACTGGGATGGAGTGCATTAGTAATACTGTTCAATAATTAAAAGCATTTTGTTTAGCATCTCTACATATATTGGGGGACAGGACTAATTTTTACAATACCCTTAGGAAGCAAAATGTATTGCTGCTGACACTTGCTGAGCTCACTGCAGATCACTGTGTGCTGGACATTGTCAATTTGAAGCTGTAAGGATTGCCAAGAAGAAGAAACCTCTTGCATATAAGACTGAGCACTGATTATTTTTTTTTTTCCCCTGAGCAATCTTGCTTGAAGGAGTCAGTTCAGTCATCAGGTCCTATTGGAGAAGAAATGTAGCTGCTTGGGTGTTGCTGAGAAAGGTACCTTTCCTGGAAGGAAGTTCAGTATCTTTTTCTCTTGTTCTTTTTAAAGGAGCTCTGCTGACAGTGGAGCATGTGAAGAATGATGTTGAAATTTCAGTGGAAGAAGGCAAAGAAACCATCCTCCGTGTGTCCGAGTAAGTGACTTTGCATCTCTCCTTCTAGCTTTGGGTCAGCAGTTTTAAAAGTCACATGGTTGTAACATTGACAGTAACCTTTTGAAGTAGGTGGAAGAGAAAAAATACAGTTTTATTTATCACTGCATTACTGATGTCTCTTTGTAGCATAGGCAAAACATTAACAGTGTATTCTAAACTAGGGCTTTATAGCTAAAGCTCTTGTATTCTTATTTTCATGCACTTACATATAATTATTGTTATAATTCACTTTATTGTTTAGGACTTTTTGTGGTGCCATGGATTATCAAAAACAAGGCCATTTTTATGTTAGGTAGGACTGGTATACAAGATTCCTTGGACTTCTGTGTGTGTGGTGGACTGGATTTAAAATGTTTTATGACATTATTTTAGGCTCACTGCAGCATATATAAGTGAAAGCATAATGTTATCTCAGGAAAGTGCTAATTAACTGTGCTGTGCTATCCAGTGTATCTCATCTGCATCCTGTAGAAAGGATATTGGAAATTTTTTGTAGTAATCTATTGTCTGTCCTTCTGAAAATGTTCTGCCATTGGAATGATTAATTTCAGATTTGGGGCATGAAGATGGTCCTCACAGTCTGAGTAAGATCAAATGTATATCAGAAATACAGGACTAACACTGTTAATTTTGGGAAGCTGCATTGTCACATTAGATTCCACATCAGGTAGGACATCTGGATATATCAAGAAGAAACATCCTGCTATTTGAAGTACCACTGACATATCAGTGGAAATCTCTGACCTCCAGTATCTACAGTAAGGAGCACATTTGTACCTGTAAACATTACGGTTGTAACTTAAAGTGCACTAACACTATGATGAATTTGGAACTAGTAATTATAGGTGTAGTTTTTGAATATTGATTAGTTTTTTAAAGATTGGGGGGGGAATCTGTTGTTCAAAGACTTGCTGACAAACTCTCATTTTGTGAGCTATTTCAGTAGAAGATCCTGTTAAAGCCATCAGTGCATCATAGACTATAAACCTGCATGTCTGTAGAATGGCTATGAAAGCAACGTATTTCATGTGTTGCAGAGTTCCTGACTTTATCCTCGTACCTTAACACCAGCTGAGCAGTTCCACTGTCTTTAGGGGGAAAGAGCTTGTCACTGTGTGCATCTGTGCAAAAAATTGAAGCAGAGGAAGACTCATGGTCTTCAGTCATGGTTGTT